TGAAATTGAGCAAACTCCAGTGGACGGCGGAAGATAGGAGGGCCTGGCGTGATAGTGTCCATGGGGTCGCAAAGAGTCGGACTTGACTGTGCGACAGAACAACAACAAAACCTGTGAGGGATGGGCCAAGGCAAGAATAAGAAAAAAATAATTTTCATTTTAAACTGCAATTCTTAAATTGTCACATTGTTTATTTCTGGAGTAGTTCCATCCAAGTGGCAAAGTTTGATTGAATTCATAACTGTTCTGTTTAAGCTGAAAAGCAACATGTTTAATTACCATCTCTGATAATGCGAAACTTCCCTTCACATTTAGCATGGTCTCAGCATTTTGCTTGAAATTTTAGTACGAAGAATCAAAGGAGGAAATTTCCCAGTTCGAAATGGCTTCCTAATCATTTCAGAAAATTACTGATGTAATAAATTGTTTCTTGTATTATTCCAAAATTTCATCAGGGTTTTTTTTGGCTACGTGAAATTGTCTCCTGAAAAGTATGCTGTTTAGAAATTGTTTGTGCTAGGAGGGAATAATGATGTTGAGATGAAAGGCAAGCTCTGTAATTGCAGGCATTATGATAGTACTGTTGGCAATGAGACAGCCTTTGATTCAAAGCCAGCCAATTCTGCAGCATATGTTTTCTCAGTGTGGAATTAGATACAGACACAGAGGTCACAAAACCATGAGAAATACTAGATATTTACCTTTGAGGAGCAGCAAGCTTTGAGTCTCCCAATAATAATATAGGTTTATTACAGCACAATTATTCAAAAGATTGAAGCTATGATAAGAAATATATAATCGGTAAAAACACAAGAAGAGCTGGATCAGACCAGTGGTCCACCTAGTCCAGAATCCTGCTTCTCACAGTGGTAGGGTGGCCTGGCAACCTGCAAGAGACTGGGGGCAGGGACATGGGGGGCAATCAGTGATGGCATGGCATCACTTCTAGGGGAAACCCGAAAGGTACATCATACCTCTCTAGGAATCACCATAAACTTTATTGTAAAATGACAGCGTTTCTGGCAATACTTAGAGGGGACTAACGTAACTTGAGCTGCGGTGGCTCAAGTGGTTAAGACGCTGAACTGCAGGCTGGAAGGTCGGTAGTTCAGCAGTTTGAGACCCGAGCTGCCGCATGACGGAGTGAGCTCCCGTCTCTGGTTCCAGCTCCTGCCAACCTAGCAGTTCGAAAGCAAGACATTACAAGTAGATAAATGGGTACTGCTTCGGTAGGAAGGTCACAGCATTCCGTGCGCCTCGGTGTTTAATCACGCCGGCCACACGACCACGGAAACGTCTTCGGACAGCGCTGGCTCTTCGGCTTGGAAACGGAGATGAGCACCGCAACCCTAGAGTCGGACTCGACTGGCTTTCGAGCAAGGGAAGCCCTTTACCTTTACCTAACGTAACTTCCAAGTTTTTCCTGGAAGTGATGTCATGCCATCAACCTGATGGCCATTACTTTTTAATTTTTTCTCTTGCTGCTGTTCCAAGCAGTGGTGGGAAATGAGAGGCTGGAACCGGGGGTTCCCTGCTACCACCAGGGGGCCAACCCTGGGAGACCTATAATCAGGACACGAGGGCAGGGTCGGCCCCAGCTTCTTTTGCACCCTAGGCGAGGATCCCTTCTGGCGCCCGCCCCGGTGCGCTCACCAATTTTCAAAAATAAATGCATTTTAGGAAGAATGAAAAACACAAAAAATCAAGAAACTCCCAGAGTATGGGGCAGGGTTCAGTTTGGCGCCCCTAAGGGCCGTCCTGCTCTAGGCGACCGCCTAGTTCGCCTAGTGAGTGAGCCGGCCCTGCACGAGGGCTAAAGCCCCCTCAGCACTTTGTATTCAGAGAGAGATACTGCCTCTGGAGGACAGAGCAATTACATAGGCCTGTGGTGGCGAACCTATGGATAAATTATATATGCATTATATGTGTTTTATATCTTCCTTTACCACTTTGAGCATGGATGTGTGCGGGGGTGTTTGAATTTGAAACACTGCTATGCTTCATCTGACTGGTCAGACACTGCATGCATCACTGCTTCCTGACTTTGTTTGGATCATCTTAAATTAACGTATGAGTTTTTTTTCTAAAGTAAAACCTCAGTATTCAGATTAAATTGCTGTGTTGGCACTTTGCAATAAATAAGTAGGTTTTGGTTCGCAGTTTGGGCACGCGGTCTCTAAAAGGTTTGCCACCACTGACATAGGCTGTAAGGATATCAGCATGGGGGGATTAGCAAAATATTATAATTTAATATTTTAAATTTGCTATGCAAAAGCAACATTTCTATAAAGTATAAGAGCCCTTCCTATAGATATTGTATTAAAATGTATTTATTTAAATATCCTGTGGGGTTTTTTTTCCCTTGAAGGGACCCAAAGCAGCTTACAACAGTAAAAGAGAGAGACGCAATATAAATAAACCAATAAAGAAAATGACAAACTACATTCCAGTCTTTGGCCTGATCTGGATTCAGCGGTTGGCTCATTTGAAAACAGAGGCCTGCGAGCCATTGGCTAATCCAAGGGCTAAGAGCTCTTGGCATTCAGCTCATGAAGAAGAGCTTGTGCCTCTGGCCTCTCTTCGCCCGCAGGCAGGAAGGAGATAAAAAGCGGCTGGCAAATAGTTCTCCAGCAACCGTTCCCTCCAAAGCTCCCTCTAAGCTGTGGAGTCTTGTGAGCGAAAATTCTACTCTGTGAGCTACTGACATGAAAGTTGTGGCCGAGCGATTTGGCTGCTGCATGAATTAGTTTGCTCTGGAGCTGAGACAAAAATGTGTGAGCCAGAGGCTAAAAAGCTGTGAGCTAGCTCACACCAACTCAGCTTAGAGGGAACACTGGCTCCCTCCCTCCCTGCCATTCATATCCCGTTCTTCCGAAATGTGTGTGCAGGTGCGGAGGAGAGCTTGCATTTGCTTTTGAAGAAAGAGTTATGACAGAGAACATACGTTCCAGATTTCATTATGATCGCTCAATAATCAAGGGAAATATTTATTTATTAGACTTTGAGCCCACCCTCCCCTGCACAGCAAGGCTCAGGGCAGGGAACAACAAGTTAAAAACAATTTTATAAATTATATATGCATTACATGTGTATTGTATCTTCCTTTACCACTTTGAACATGGATGTGTGCGGGGGTGTTTGAATGTGAAACACTATGTTCCATCTGACTGACAGTCTTCTGGTCAGACACTGCATGCATCACTGCTTTCTTCTGTCAGGGGAATACTATACTGTTGGTGCAAAGTATGTGGTACTAATCCTCCAAGAGCTTATAGTAGCCCCTGTAGAAGAGCTCTGTAAGCTCTTGGAGGATTGGCTACATTAGGGGGAGTGTCACCATTAGGGGTGTGTCGCCTAACAGGGCTATTTGGGGGCAGGAACGCACAGGAACGGAGTTCCGGCTGGCTCCCGAGTTGGCCACACCCAGCAGGAACTCATTAGCATAATAGGCCACACCCAACAGCAGAAACTCATTAGGATTGGCTACGTTAGGGGAGTGTGGCCTAATATGCAAAGGAGTTCCTGCTACAAAAAAGGCCCTGGGTTTTGACAAGAAACAAAGTAAACAGAATAAGAAGCAAAAGGTGAGTGTGTCTGGGTGTGTGGCCTAATATGCTAATGAGCTGTACTGTCAGGGGTGTGTCCTAATAAGCAAATGAATTTCTGCTGTTGGGTGTGGCCTATTATGCTAATGAGTTCCTGCTGGCCTTTTTCTACAAAAAAAGCCCTGTCGCCTAATATGCAAAGGAGTTCCTGCTACAAAAAGAGCCCTGGCATATCTCTCGTACCGCCATGCAGATGGGCATTTTGATTCCTAATGATCCTCTGGCAAACACAATGGTTTTGAGATTATAATTTGAAAATTATTTTCAGAATTCAGAAGAGCCATACTTTAACCATTTTCCTGAGGGATTCCTCCTTTAACAAGTGAAAACTGCTCAAATCCATGCTTCCTTTCCTGATAAAGTATTTTGCCTTGCTGTGGGCATGCTGCAATAGCAATCAAACACAAAGTTTTAAAGATGTCACAGTAAAATAAAAGTATCCTGTGAGTAATGCATAGCAAGGCAGTAAAGAAAAGAAGGGGCTGGTCCCACAAGAAACAATACAGTAACGACACTGTAGGACATTCTTAAATTCCAACAGTCACTCACCTCTCAGTTATTTGGCAACCTTCTTTGGTTTGAGTGGGAATGCTCAGAATTTTTGCCTTCACTCAAGTTTTCTTGTATATATGCTGAAGTTACCATTAAATTTTAGTCCTGGACCAGGTCTTTGTTGCCTTGGTATTGCATCTACACAGCTGCAGTGTCACTGTTAGTATATAGATTGAGTCAAGAAATTTAAATAGCAAAATGTGTGTGCGTGTGTAGCTTTGCTTGATTTTCTGAGGGAAAATATACAAGACCTTGTTGTCTTCTGTCACTTAAGAAATGACTTGTCCACATTTAAGGCTAAGCACTCTTCCCCCCTTCTTTCTTTGATGTATGATCACACATATCTTAATATCTTTTTATTTATTTTGCAGAAACTGGTGCTCTTGACAATATATCTACAACAGTTTCTTCAGAAGAAACAAATCAGTCTTGAAAGAGAATGTATTTATATGCTGTTTGGAATTTTGAACAAAATAAAATGTAATCTATTGTTTACACTGACCTTCTACTCAGTTACCCATAATAAATCTTTTTTGTCTTTTCTTTCTCCTGTGATGTCATAATGTAAAACTTTTCCTTGAGAAATATTTGACTTTGGATAAATGACAAAATAAAAAAACAATTAGCAGCTGCATCTCGTTTCATTTTTCCTATAATAATTTGGAGCTTCTACAGAGGTTATGTAGACAAGGAGGGTTTCTATCCCACTTAGAGATCACTTCCTGTTCAAGGGTTAGCACTGATGCCTGGGAAACTCAGTCAAAACTATCACGGCCAAAAAGGAAACTCTTGTGACTCCTTTTGTCTTGTGTATAATTTACTCTGATAACCTCTATCCCTTTTCATTTTCTATTGCACTAGGTTGAATGATATATGTAGATATATATTTTAGGTAATTGAGGTTGTTTGGTCTGCGTAGGCTTGCCAAATCCCCCCGGGGGGCAGGGAAACCCTCGCCCCAGAGGCCCGTTCCCTGCTGCTGGCAGATCAGACCCCGGGGGGAACTCCATCCCGACGTGCACGTCGCCCGGCAGTGACGCAGGCACACTGGGGGCGGGGCCACGGTCATCTGGTTTTCCCTCAGATGGTCGTGGCCCCGCCCCCAGCATGCCCAGCGTGCCCGCGTCACTTCCGGGTGACGTGGATGCGGCGCGCGCGCACTCCAGCCGCCAGCTGGGAGTCCCCCGCTGCGGCTGAATTCACACTTAGGTCTGCTTCTGTATGGCTTATGGGCCATAATAAAGATTGACTGACTGACTTTTGACTCTACAACAAGTACAATACGAATAACAGTGGCAAAAAATAATTATTTCACATTATGTATTGCTTCACAAAAACCTCCAAACGGTGGCAATCTTTTATAGTTAGAAAGTGGTCCTTTGTGGCTTATGGGCAGTTCAGTCTCTCCTCCTGTACATCCTTTATATAAAGGGAAACAAGAGGTCAAGTCCATCTAGTTCAATCAGTCACCTCAATTGGAGGACCTTGGCGGTCCTGGCCTTGAGTTTCCTGCCTAGCAGCCTAAATTTTTCCTCCAGGAACTCACAACTGCATTTCCCCACATTGTTGGTGCCAACATAGAGCCACTCGCTCCTCCCCAGCACTATCTACCAGCCTATCTAGAACACGCGTCATGTCCGCTACCTTCGCACCAGGCAGGCAAGTCACCATACGGTCAGTACCTGGGTTCACCACCCAGCTGTCTACCTGCCTAAGGATCGAATCACCAACTACCAAGAGCCCCCCTCCTTCCCTGCCAAGGGATGGTTCCTTGGTGCGAAAGGATACCCATTCACCAGCTGCAGAAGAGGTCTCTTCTGAGGGCACATTCCCCTTATCTGCAGCATGGTGCCCTGTTTCCTCTAGACCCTCATGCTCCCTGACAGTGGCGGGGCTGCCATAACCAGAGTGGGACATATCTAACAAGTCCCCAAGAGTCTTCCCCATGCGCCTGACTGTCTCTGCTTCTCCAGGTCTGCCACATTGGCCTCAAGGGAGCAAACTCGTTCCCTGAGAACCAGGAGTTCCTTACACCAAGCGCACACCCAAGACTTCTGTCCAGTGGGGAGGTAGTCATACATGTGACACTCCGTGCAAAACACTGGATAGCCCCCAACCCCCTGCTGGCATTCTGGCTTCATAATTGCTTTTAAAATAATAATTATATATAACCCCCCTTTTAAAACCCCTTTGTATTTATTTGGTTCTCCTTGTAGTAGTCTACTTACCTTACTGGGAACCCAAGGAGACTAGGGGTCTGGCTTTCTAACTCATCCTGGGCTTCCTGCAGAGTCCCTAGTCTAAGAGCCACAGGCCAAGAGCCCTTTGGTTCTCACCCTTCGGCTCATGCCTCTGGCAAGGTGCTGCCTTAAATAGAAGCTTCCCCCAGCAGAGGGTGTGGTCAGCAGCTATTCAAATTCACCCAGGTACTCAATTACAGTCAAACAATGACCCTTTCACACCCCATCTCAAGCAGCCAGGACTCTGCAACAACTCACAACTCACCCACACACTCCCAAACCCACCCACCCCCACACAGTACCCTCTCAGCTAAATCACCTCAGCTGAAAGTAAATAAAAAGACTCACTCCTCTAGCAGCTCTATCTCCTGTGCCTTTTCAGAGCTCAGATGGGTCGAATACCTACTCCCTCCCCCTCATCAAAGACTTGCTCATGGAGGCCTCGCAGGGCTGGATCTTTACTAAACTATATCTGAGAGACACATACTTCAGGGTACACATAAGGGAGGGGGATGAGCACAAAACGGCGTTCAGTACCTCCTTGGGACAGTTTGAGCATTTGGCTTGGCCGGGCCACCTTGGGGTGTTCATGAACTTAATGAAGTGTTGCACAAGTCCCCGTACAAGGGGGTCCTTGGTTTTTTTAATAATTTTTTTTATTTTATAACAACAAACATACACAAACAATATACATAAAAACACAAAACAAACACAAAATGGGAAAATCTCTCCACCTTTTTGAATAGACTGTTTTGTTATCTGTACCTCTCTCATTATATAAAAAAAAAATTCTGCAACTTATATTGTAAAACAGAGCTTTGCACATTTTATTGTTAATGTTCTTATTGTCCTCTGTTTTGGTTATAATCATGCTTCATTTGTTATATTCTTCAATCCACTTGTGACCATGTCTCTTCAAAAATTTTCTCTTTATGTCTTTTCAAAATTAGAATTAATTTGTCCATTTCAGCAGTTTCTAGTAATTGGTTTATTATTTCTTCTTTTGAAGGTGTCTCCTTTCTTCTCCAATATTTAGCATACAATATTTTAGCAGTTGTAACTACATGTAAAATAAGATAAGAGTCTCACACTCACACCACATGGGCAGACGGTACATAGGTTAGTAGGAGTGGCCTGGGGGCATCCACAATAGCAGCAGTCACACAGCTGTGAGTAATGTGCTGGGTGAGACTATGATAGAAATGAGAAATTAAATAGGTTGGCTGTGCAACATGATGTAGCAATAGGCTATGTACATATGTACTGTCAAGTCACAACTGACTTATGGCGACCTCATCAAGAGGCTTTCAAGGAAAGTGAGAAGCAGAGGAGGTTTACCATTGCAGTTCTCTGGAGAGTATTTCTTGGGAGTCTCCCATCCAAGTACAGACCCTGCTTAGCTTCCACAGTCTGTTGAGGTTGGGCTAGAAGGCCAGTGAAACATAATTATTTTTGTTGAATACTGGAGTGAGATGAGACACCATTAAAGCCATCGATATGAATGTGACTTCACATAAATAGACAGCGTTGAATGCCACTTGACAGGAATTAGGCTGTGGGGTGGCATCCTTGTGGTAATTTAATCCTCATTCGTGACTCCATTGCAAGCTCACTCATTCGCCATTTAATCCTCACTCATTCCCCATTGCAAGTTCCTACGTCTGGAACTCCAGCCCAAAACACCTTCACAGACCCCTTCCTTCACATTCCTTCCCCCAACACATCTTTTTGATGACTCACCATCTTCCAATGTTATTTTTGCCTTTCCCCCATCTGTCTTAATTTTCAGTCTTCACTATTGCTAATGTTCCTCTATACAGTGCTATTGATGGTGCTGTATTAACACAGTAGACAAACATGAAATAATACAAACTTAATAGTACATTGAGGGGCTGCAGCGGCTCAAGGGGTTAAGACACTGAACTGCAGGCTGTGGAAGGTCAGTAGTTCAGCAGTTCGAGACCCGGGTGCTGCATGACGGAGTGAGCTCCCGTCTCTGGCCCCAGCTCCTGCCAACGTAGCAGTTCGAAAGCAAGAAATTGCAAGTAGATAAATAGGTACCACTTCGGTGGGAAAGTAAACAGCGTTCTGTGTGCCTTGGCGTCTAGTCATGCCGGCCACATGACCATGGAAATGTCTTTGGACAGCGCTGGCTCTTCGGCTTAGAAACGGAGATGAGCACCGCATCAGATTCGACTGGCTTTCTAGCAAGGGAAACCTTTACCTTTACCTTTTAATAGTATATTAACTACATATTTTCCACTTTGGTGTGTGATTTAAGGATTTTAGAAAAGTATTCCATTCAGGAAACCCACCTTTGAAACAAATAGGCTGTAAAATAAAACATAAGTCCATTGACACCTTAAAAACTAACCAAACATATTCTATCATGCACTTTCATGAGTCAGAGCTCACGCCATCAGATGTATAAATTAAATATAAATAAATTTCATGCCACAGAACTTGGTGTTTTATTTTGCTGCTACAGACAGCTACCCATTTAGCTACAGCAGTGAATTTGATGTGAAAAGAGAGTCCTGGTTATTATATTATTTCCTTAGACAATTAATCTCAAGCACTAGTAAAAAGACACACCATAGCACGTTTCTTTTACCGCAGGGGCAACCAATTTGTGCCAGCTGCAACCAAAATTTTTAGGTCCAAAGTCAGCTCCCAGTTATTGTACGGCATCCCAATCTGGATTAGAGCTTTTGACCACGCCATTGAACGAGTCCAATCCAAATTTCTGCATAAAATCATGGCCCTACCAAATTGTGTATCGAACGCGGTCATATATCTGGAAACTGGCTCGTCCCTGATGGAAACCTGTGCGTGGCTTACAACCTTTAAATACTGGCTCCGCCTTCATTATAACTTTGAACATGGGAGCCTCATACATCACATGCTCCCCGAGCTTAAACTCTCAAACTGGTCAGCATATATCAAAGGGAAAATTAAAGTATTGGGTCTCTCTTTGGAATTCCTGTCCACGTTGCCTTTTGCGGTTGCATTCCAACAGATTAAAAACAGGTTGTTAGACTCGGAGCGCCAAAATTTATATAGTTTAGCCAATAAAACCTGCTCTCCCTTGAATTTTGAGATTCCCCTTACAACAGGGATGATGGCTGCGTATCTATCCTCTCTGCAGGTCCCTCAACAACGTAGAGCGTTCACCCTGGCCAGATGTAATGCC